ATTATACACCTGGGAATTCAGATCATACACATAAAGTTATTGGACCACTGTCTGCCAACCCTATACATGTTCTTGGGTGCACTCTCCACTTCAAATAGATACCTAATATTCAGCCTGTCCACCCATCTATCCACCCATATACCCATGTTTGCCTTCACTAAGCACGCTTTTGCATGTGTAAAAGGGTTCATTTTGTTGTCTGTACTTCCCACGTACCTCTCTATGTCTTTCTTTTCCTCAATGCCACTATATTCATCACTCACATTTGGTACATTGCCTTTTTCTTCACCCAAATCAAAACTTATCTCTATCTATCTAACTGTATTCCCTCCCCTTCCCTCCCACCCCTGGTAACCAACAAAGAAAATGACCTTCCATACATAAGCGTTTCCTGGACTATTACAATAACCGACCAATACAATACTGTCCTTTTGTGATTGACTTATTTCACTCAGCAAAATGCTCTCCAAGTTCATCCATGTTATGCGGTGTTTTGCAGATTCTACATTATTCTTTAGGGTTGCATAGTGTTCCATTGTGTGTATGTACCATAGTTGGGATATCCATTCCTCAGTTGATGGACACCTAGGTTGTTTCCATCTTTTGGCTATTGTAAATAGTGCTGCGATGCATATGGGTGTGCATATGTCTGTTCTTGTCATGGTTCTCACTTCTTTAGAATATACACCTAGTAATGGAATGGCTGGGTCAAATGGTGTTTCTTGTTCCAACTTTTGAAGAAATCGCCATACTGTTTTCCACAATGGTTGTACCATTTTACAGTCCCACCAGCAGTGTATGAGCATCCCAATCTCCACATCCTTGCCAGCATTTGTTATTTTCTGTCTTGTTGAACTTTGCTACTTGTGCTAGAACATGATGGTACCTCGTTGTTTTGATTTACAACTCTCTAATAGCTAATGATTGTGAGCATTTCTTCATATGTTTGTTGCCCACTTGAGTATCCTCCTTAGTGAAGTGTCTATTCATGTCTTCTGCCCATTTTTTAATTGGATTGTTTGTTTTTTTGTTATTGAGGTGTTGGAGTTTTTTTTTTTTTTTTTT